CTGCAACAGAATACAAAGAATAGAAGTCCTTTCATCAGCTTGCTTCTGTGTTTTGGGAACACCTCTGCTTTAAAACTGACAGGATTTTAGCGTGGTACGGCAACGTGTTTGGCTTCGCGCTGCTTTTTTAACAGAGTATAATTTCACTTTAAAGGATTTTCCTCTAAGTGCTCAGAAATTGTAACCGGTAACACGCTTATCTTACTAGCCAGCTTAAAGCTGGATTTGCTGGAAGGCTTTGAACAAGTAAATGCGACCGAAAACTTGTGTTAAGAGACAATTGTTTCTTTAACTTCTTCGAGTGGCTCAGAACCTGGTTAAAGTTCACAGGCTGGGAGCCTTTTTTTCCCCCCTTCCCATCCTAGGGATCCAGCTACCCTTGCAGCTGGCCATAAATGAGGACCAGGCTTTGCCACTCCGTGCTTTCACAAGGTATCGTTAGGTCAGCAAAGCCATCAATTAGGCTGTCTGAAGTTTTATCACCAGCGCAGCAGCAATAAGTGCTGGCCCAGAAAGACTTCTGCTCTTCTGCAACTCCTGCAGTTGGAGCCTGTAAAGGCGGGGGTCGTTTGGAGGTCAGTGCCAGCTGGGGGCGACCTCTGCGGCCGAGCGGGGACACCCCGCGCAAGGCGACCGCCCGCCCTAAACTCAGGCACCTTTCAACTTGTTAGAAACCCTCAGTCGCAGGTACATGTGGTTAATATTAGGCCCAAAATAACCTTCTTTTTTTATCTCAAACCGGGGCGGTTGCCGAGGCTTTTGAGCGCTGGTAAAGGCAGTTAGTTGGCTGCGGAGCCTGGATTTAATTTTGCTGGTAATCCAAAAATAAGTGCTTGCATATTTCTTATTAGCTTAATGCGCAGCGATCCGCATCGGCACAAGCTAAGCTAAATTAATTTCCCTAAAATAATCTTAAAACTTGCCTATTCACAGAGTTTCTTTCAAAACAGGGCAATTTTCTATCACTCAGGAGCCACGCTTGTTTTTGTCTCCCCTCTTTGTGTTTGAGAACACTTTGGAGCCTTCGCACAGGTTTTGTGTGCTATTTCACAGCTCAGGCTTTCGGCTGGTGACCCTTAAGGAGTGCTAATGAAGTCGAATACTAGTGTTTAATCCTCTTCAGAAATACTAACATGCCCATCATCCAAAACAGCCTCCAATAATTGCCATTGGGCCCAATCCAACACCTAGCGAAGTCTTTCAGTCAGCTAACTGAAAACTAAGTTCATCTGCTCATTTAGTAAATTGCTAGCCTTTATATAGCATCAACTCCGCAAGGCCTTTTGTCGCGCTTCCCTCCCTCCTGCCCCCCGGTTAAATTCCTCCGCAGATAATAAAAGACGGTGGCACACCTTCGATTGCATCTTCCGTAATCACAGTTGTGGAAATTTCATTAGACAGATGCATAAATGCTACAAGTAACACTAAAGGGCTCTTTTGCATCTCTCTGTTTACATCCAAAAGACATTCTTTATTCTTTAGGAAAAGTATAATTCAGTTGTCAGAAATGTCATCCTGCCTCAGAATTCATCATGACTTCAGGTATTAGAATAAAAACGCAGACACAGTCGATGTACTTGTTTATTCCCTTCTGACTGCGGCACAGCGAAGTCATGTCCTATCCCAGCGCTGTGATTACGAGGTGTGTTTCCGTCCTCAAAGACAAAAGTCCCCAACAGGACCCAGTTTGCTGAGCTACTTTCCAGTAACGTTACCGCGCTGACCAAATGGAGCCTGACCTGAACCTCCTCCGTCCAGCGCGCCTTTTATCAGCTAAAGTTAAGGGCAATAGAGATTAACAGGAAAGCCTGATAAGACTGTTTTCTCTTCTCCTATGAGCTTCTAATGGTGTATACAGATGGCAAGGTTTTAAAGAATGGAATGAACGCTTATTTAGGCCTGTAAAAAATCACAGACAACAGAAACATCCCCCCACACGCACACACTTTCCGTCTTACTACCCTTTTCCTTCAATCAGGCCACTCTTCAGGGAAACCAAATTGCTTTTTCGTTTTTTATTTAAACCCCAACCACTTTTATTATTTACATCTGGTGGTCTCCTTATTTATGTCCCTCTCCACTTCCCTGCACACACACCCCGGCTCACAGGGCTGCGAAGCATTATGGGCCTTGGCTCTCAGCAGGAGAACTCGACACTGTCTTCAAACAAATAATTAAGGGGAAGGTTAAAGGTTCACCCAGAGGTCATATCTTTGGATACTCCTCAGAAAGTTTACATTAGTAAGAAATGGGTGCCCTCTGAAGTGTTCTTTCAATGGGCTCGCACAACAAGGCAGAGCATTAAGAAAATTCTAAGTCCTGAAGGGTTTCGGGTGACAACTGCTTTACCTCCGTGAGCAGCAGATTGGGATACTCCACTCCAGTCTTACATATTCGGCAGCCACCACGGAGTAAGCCTTTTGGGACGGGTGTTGAAAACCCAGTCTCGCCCAGCCATTCACTCCCAAAAGAGGTTGGCCTTGTTTTATTCCACTGATGTGAATAAAGCCAGCCTTTCACTGTGAACTCTGCACAGAGGCAATTCCCTAGTTGTTTTGGAAATGAGAGTTAAAGCCCTAATACTGAGTTCCCCAATATTTGTTTCCCCCCGGAAAAAAATAGCGATAAAAGTGATCGCATTTGTCCAGTAAATCTTGCAAAAAATAGTGCTTGGGTTTTATTTCTGATTTCATTATTTCTCCATTTTTCTTTTGCACATGTGCATAACTGCAGGTGCAAATGATGTCCTCTAGACCAGCAACGCTTTGTCTGAAGAGAAGATACACTGTCATATACTTAGAAAAATATAGGAGCACAGAGGCTTTAGGCATCTAGATCATTTTGAAATTCCGTTTCTACAGCTCCTCTGAAAAATCCTGTCCATAAACGGCATCAATTATACCCACCAATGGGTATGTCTGAAAAATTACATATGAAATTATTTACATTTGCAAAATTGCAGGTGCAAAACAGACATACATTTCAGGTGAAGCTAAAAATCAGATCCTAGTTTCATTAGCAGTAGCTACATCACGTAATGCATCAGCACAATTGGTAGGCAAGGGCACAGAATGCAGTGTTTGTGGATTATTATTTATTCTTTATACTGCCCCATAAATATGCACAGTGCATAACAGAGATGTAGAAACAATAGTCCCTGCCCTAGCCTTTACATTTTTGAGGGCTTTTTTTGAGTCCCGCAGGGAGCCATCTCCAGGGCCAAAGTAAAACAAAATACAGCCTTTTGCACAGCACTTCAGTTCGTGCATTGCAGAAACACTGTGATGTTATTTTGGCGCAAATGTCTTCAAAAAGCATTAAGAGACAGGTGAGAAAAGAGAATACCAATGCCACTATTTGCAGCATTATTTGGAACCCTATAAAAGAAGAATTCACAGCTCTGTTCCTGACACTAATTGCCTGCCTTCTTCATACTCTTCACCCAGAGGCCAAAGATTGAATGGCCTGAAAAGATGAGTAAAATCTATCAACAAGACATGGATTTCTTTGTTACTCTTCTGTTAATAGTAATTTCTATTATTTGGATGATAGCAGCAGTTAGAGGACCCAATGAAGCTCAGTATTCCTCCACCCCATGCTGCACAAGCACACCGTCCAAGAGGACTCAGGGTCTGAACAGATTTCCAGGCAAAGCCTGGGGGAGAGGAGAGATGCTTTCTCCCTGTTTGCAAAGGGGAAGGGAGACAGAAGGAGATTAAGTGACAAGGCCAAAGTCATACAAGAGATCTTTGGCAGAGCCACACACCCAACATAGATTTCCTCAGTCCTCTTTCAGCGCTCCTACAATCTGCTATCCATATGCTATCTTTCCTTTGTTCCCCCAGCTTAGCAGTCAGGCACACTGGCAGGGGACTGCAAAGAGAGCTCACATTGCCACTGTTTGTGCCTTACCTGCTGTGTAGATAAAGAGGGGTCATCAGCCTCCAGGGCTGTGAGGCGATACCTTCACAAACTCTACATTCATATGGTACTTGGTCCTCATTCCAGAATGATAAATGAGGTGTGTAATGTTGAGAAATACATGTCATCGACATAGGACGTTTAACGAAAATCTCACTTCCAGCATTTTGCAAATGACAGATTACTGACCTGGCTTATTCAAACAATAGCCATTTGAATAGAAAGAAGGTTTTTTGCATCTTGTATTTTTCTTTAATTGCTACCTAAAGCAGCCACATATATTTCCTACAGCCAGAGTCTGTCTTTCTCACACAAGTAGTTCCGGTAGCTTCTGCGGGACAATTTATGAAAGCACAACGAACAAGATTTGGCTCAAAATGCACAACAATATGGGCTTTCAAAAGAACGCATTTCATTTTTATCTGCTTCCAGCAAAAACCAGTAGAGCAGTAAAGGTACACTAGTGAATATGCAATGTAGTCTGGTGATTTGGTAGCCCTAGTCCTAATTGGTTCCTACCATTGCTAATTAGCATGACAATATAATCTAAATATATGCATTTAATTGCATCTCTTCAAATAGAGCCTTGGTTTTCTTTGTCCAAAATAAACATGTATTCTGTATTTTATAGGAAGTCCTGTAATTAACCTTCTTTATATATTTATCATATTTTATCTCAAGTAATATCAAATGATGTTAAACTACATTTACATAATACATTTTATTTTTATAATAAATAATGTTCAGATAAAATTGCAGAGAGATATTTCTGCAAAGTGCAAAAGAGAATAAACAGCAAATAGAGATCTCTTAGTCTGCTTGCTCAAGTCTGGCGCATTCAAAAATAATTTTGTTGTTGTTTCCACTGTCTTTTTTATACATACTATACATGTATTTCAAAACATTGTGACCACTCCATAACTGAATCTGAGTAAGATTAGTTCTTGAAATGAACTGTTAGTGGCTGTACTGATTGGTAGTCAGAATTAGAAACATCTCTAGCATTACTCTACGGCTATCATGGAAAATTCACTTTAAGTACGTAGGGTCACAACAGGTCTTGTTTCAGGAGGATATAT